TTTAAAATATATTTCATATTATATAAATAATTTAATGAAGACTGAACCCTAGAATAACATACCTTTCTTCATGTGAATGACATGTTATATAACCCAAACATACACATGGCACTTTGCATAGACATGTGTGTGGGTGTTCAAACAGTATATTTTCCTCTAAGATGGGGGTTAGTGAATTACAGCTCATAGAGTGGATGTTTGTTTTTGTAAAGAAAGTTTTATTAGAACACAGACACCCCGTCTGTTTATGTATTGTTCGTGGCTCCTTTCACACTACACAGTGGATGTGAGTAGTTCCAATAGTGATTATATGGCCCACAAAAAATTTTGGTAAGACACGAATATGTATCTGATCTTTTAAAGGAAAAAGCAAAGACATGGGTATGGTATCTGTAGCTATAAAAAAATCATGTCTGTTTTAACAATTTCATAACATGAAAATTCAATTTAGCTCTTTAGTGTTGACAGAGGAATAAGAAAGAAAGCCAGCTACTGGGTGAAGATTTTAATGTGCATAGAGATGTGTAGAAGAAACTTCCCTAGATGTCCACTCCAAGTTTCCTCTTCTCTTTATAATTTTATTTATATTTCTCCCTGCTCATTTTTATTATTCTGTTTCTAGCTTCTTGTCATTTATCTCTGTTCTACCTGTTTCTACATTTTCCACATTTTTCACATTTCCACCATTTTCCACTATATTTAAATTTAAATTTGGGGTTCATGTAAAAGCATAAGGACTTTTTGCATAGAAGATGTATTTACCCATATCTGTATGAGCAGTGTTGAAAACTTTTCACCTCTAATGAACTAAAAAGATAAACTGAGTAAGATAAATAGGCCTCTTGACAGTTTCCCTGACATTTGTTTGATGTTACGTAACAGTAAAGCACGGAAAATCCTATTTGGTTCAATATACTTGTAATAAGCTTTGGTGGTAACCCTGATAATTCTTCAGACTTTGGAGACTGAAAGGCAAATAAGATAGGTCCAGATTTCTTGTTGTTCTCTTTCATACATCTTGCACTTCCTTCTTTAAAAAAAATTTTTTTTAATCGAAGAATAGTCGGTTTACAATGTTGTGTTAATTTCTGGTGTATAGCATAGTGATTCGGTTATACATATCCATGTATTTCTTTTCATATTCTTTTTTATTATAGGTTATTGCAAGATATTGAATATAGTTCCCTGTGCTATACAGTAGAACCTTGTTGTTTACTTTGCACTTTCTTCTAGGCGGTTAGGATCATTTGTCCTGTGTGTGTGCAAGTGGGTGTGATTTAACTAGATCTTGCTCTAGACTCATCTCCATGAAGACCTGGAGGACGTCTGTTGTGCTTACACTTTTATTCCCAGTGCCTATTGTATACTAGGTCCTCCAAGAATATTTATTGAACTGCTTGAATGAATGACAGAGGGTCATTGAAACATTTTAGTAATTAGAAGGACAAGCTCACTTAAGTCTTACCTAAGTGATTCTAGTAGTAGTTTAAAGTTTAGATTTATAGGTGTCACTCTGAGACTGAGCTGGATCTTATAATATTCCAAGACAGAAAATTCAGAAAATTCTTTAATTAAAGAAACATTAATTGAACATGCTTTATAGGCTAGATATTGTTTTCAGAATTGGACAATCAAGACAAACTTGATTAAGACACAGTCTTTACAATTTAAGATGCCTATGAAATGTGTAGTGAATTCTGATTAGAAAACTCAAAGGAAAGTATTTAATGGAGAAGATGGCATTTGAGAAGGGCATTGAGGGATGAATAGGAATCTGATTGGGAGAAAGAGAATTACAGGCTGTGGGAGCAAATAAAGCCAAAGAGGGTAGAAGGCAATGCTTGCCACTGGCCAGCAAGCGGTCTACTGTGAAAGTAACATCTTGAATTACCAGGGAAGGTGGCAACACTCTTACTCTGACAAAAAGTGAGCGGGAAGCACTGAAAGTTTCCCAGGGTGTATAACATGATATAATTCATGTTTTAGGAAGAGAAGTTTGGTGGCTGTATCAGGAGTAGGCTACAGGTAAGAAATCTGGTAAGAAGCCTATGGGAATAGCTCCACATTTAGACAATAAAATACTGAACTAATGAATTCAGCATGGTGGAAGAGAGAAAGACCAAATACTAGGACACTAAGGAGAGAAGGATCAACAAATCTGGACGTGGTGTGAGAGTTCGGAGTGAACTGAAGCTAGCACTGTTGGAAGATTCCAGTTCACTGGCACTTTCCAAATATGAAAGAGAGGATGGAACCTATTCAGGATGAAAGATAGCAGGACCCCCTTTTGGCTGCAAAAAATGTGGGTCATGGGTTAAAACACAGACTGGATAAGGTTGTTCTCTCAGAATGCACTTCAGTCTTCAAGTACTTCAAGATGAACCATTCTGAAGTCAGTGACAGTCAGTTTACGTGTTGTATAATACTTATCTTTACTCCACTTGACATTGAGAAATTGCAGTGCTAAGAAGGGGAATCATGACAGTGATAAACAGGAAAACTAAGTGTGTTGTTTGAATTGACAATTATGCCATAAAGTTAGCTGTTGAAGTCTTATGATAACATCCTTCCTAAATGCAGTGTTTGTAAAACAGAAATCTGAGTAAACAATCATCATTTTTGTTTCCACACTTGCTGAACCAGGGAATAGATTAAGTGCAATCAATGGGGTTTATTTTTTACAGTAAGTTGATAAGCTGGCTATAATTGTATGAATTAGGATACCAAAACACTGATAGGATTCTCAAAACCAACAGCCATCTATTTTCTAAAGTTATAGGGGAAAAGTACTGAATAAAATGCACAGATAATTTAAAATCATCATTTAAGCTAGTAATTGGAATGAATTTCTTTAATAAATTCTTTAACTGGGTAGCAAATAGGATTTAAACTTCATTTCTTCAACCATTAAACAATCATAACAACAGACTGTAGAAGAGGGAAGGAAAAAAAATAACTTTACTTGATAGGATCTTAATAGTTACTTTTTTAATGTAATGTAAAGAAATTTGGTCTTTCATGTGTAGGAAAACAAAATAAGATATTTATGTAATTCACCAGTTTGAGGGTATGAAAGGCATGAACCCAGAAATACATACTTCTCCAACCCAGTCTGGTTCTTTGCCCCATGATAGCTACCGCCTTTCCCGACCCCTCAGGTGTGCCTCTTACTCCTCAACTACTTGCCTGGATCTGATTTACCAGCCCAGCTTTGGTGGGATCTATGTGAGCAGCTCCTGTCTATTTTGTACTTTTCCCTCAGTCATGTAATTGGGATTCTTCATTGTTCTAGGAGTTATTCCTGTCAATTCACATTAGGTGCTTTCAACATCATGACAGGTTCTAGGGATAAAATGATGAATAAGACGGCTGTCACAATTTATAAAGGGAGAAAAATGAAACATGAACAATAATATTGGATGATAATTGCACCCAGCTATGTACCCATTATACAGGTGGCAGAGAGAAAAGAGTGATTATATAATATTGGATGATAATTGCACCCAGTTATGTACCCATTATAGAGGTGGTAGAGAGGAAAGAGTGATTATGCCTGTGTTATGGGCACTGAAAAGGCTTTATAGAGGAGGAGACATCAGGACTGTGTTTTCAAAGACTAATTCAAATTTTCAGATTCAACAGAAGGCAATATGGGGAGATTGGGAGTAGGTATTCCAGGTGGAAGGACAAAAAAAAAAGGCATAAAAAATTAAAATGTTTTCCACACTTTTTGTAACTAACCTCTGTTTTGGTTCCTCTTCACATTTGCCATTCTTATAATTTGCGAAAGTCCCATTCTCCTCCAAAAGAACTGAGTTCTGCCCCTGAATAGTAATCCTTTTTGATTGTGGCCATTAGAATTCCCTGAGGCTGCCTTTCAGCCCCAGATCCTGATCTGAATGTCACCTGCCCCAAATCCCCTATTTCTGCATCTATTTTCTAACTTGGATACCTACTTGCCTGAACTAAAATGCTGTGGTTGTGACTCGAATACTG